TTTCGAATCCTCTGCAAGGTCACTTTACTATGTTACAGTTGAAATGATGGTACAAATATAAAGGGCATGCTGCCAGACACTCACAAAAGAAACAAAACACAAGTAGGTGTATTTACAGAAAAATGATTCTTCAATGAAGGGCCCTAAAAATCTCATCTCTAACCCAGAGGATATTGACTAGATAAGCTTTTTGATTCAGATCTTGCAGCTAACTAGGAGCTTGATCCTGAAAGATGCTGAGCATTCTAACTTGATCTAGCAAATCGTTTTTGCACATGATTATTTTTAAGCATTTGTATAGTCCCATGAACTTTAGTGGGACTACTCACATATTTAACTTTAAAGGACACGTTTAAGCATTTCTCTGGATTGAGGCCAGAGCTCTCAGCACATTGCAGAATCAAGCCCTACAATAAGAAAATGAGGGGAGGGTGTGGGGAAAGGAGAAATCACGATTTTTTTCCCCAAGCATTCCAAAACATGAAAACCCTCCTGTTTCAGAAACCTAATAAAGGAAATTATGCAGCTAGGTATGTTACTAAGAAAGTTTGTGTTTGGTTTTGCCAGCTGTCTCTTCAATACAGTCTCTGAAGGAGACAGTGGGAAACAAGTTTTCCTGCTACAGTTTGCCAGCAAAATGAAAACGTGAGAAAGTGAGAATGAAAAGCAGCACATATGGGCGATAGTGATGATGTTGCTAAGACAAAAATTTGCATTTCAACAAAACAATGTCTTTTGCATTGGTGATTACTGTTATGATCACTATCAAACCCCCTAATTAAAATGTGTGTGAGATATACATACACACAAAATACATGTATTTATTCATACAAAAACTACATTAAAATAACCCCTAAATCAGGAAATTCCATGGACAGACTTAATCCTGCTCGTTTCTGTGCCTGCTTTAAAAGTCATAAATTAGATGTTACTGTTCCACTAACAGAAGATCACACATTACTTCCTACAACCTTAGATATATATGTGTGGAATCTTCAAATACTACAATTAAAAATGGAGTAAAAGTAATTTATTATCAGAATGGTTCACTATATCATTACACCATAGACATGGTATATGATAAGTTAACTTCTCCCTTAGATAAGTGACTTGCCCAAAGTCACAAAGGAAATCTATGGCAGGGATAGGCATTCAACCTAGATCTCCCAAGACCCTTCCCGTACCTTTATCACAAGATCATCCTTAGCTGGGTGTTCAAACACTTTTGTTAGTATCCATTTACTGTATATTTTCTTTGCAACAAGCAGCGCACAGTAAGGTGTTAGTTAGCCAGTTAATTACGAAGCAAAATTAGCTGTGAATTGAGGTGGTCAGTATGCCAGCAAATTCTGACTATCAGTCAGGTCACATACAGGTTGTATAAGTGACGTTCATTGTGTCCGTGGCATACGGCATAAGTGGCTCTCTCTGATTGTCTGGCACTCCTAGAGCTATAGGCGAAACTCCAAGAAACTGTCCCTAGGTAACTAAGGCTGAAAAAAATATATATGGTGTTCTATGGAATGTTAGTAGTAGTATGTGACCATGAAATTGAAATAAGAATTATAATGTACTTCAAATACAAAAGGGTGCAGAGTCAAGTCATTGCACTTGCAATGTTAAACTTTATTTCCTAGCTTTTGCGCACTTCCTGGTTCTATAGCAATGTTCTGATTTCAAAGCTTGGCTGGCTTGCCAAAACTATCAATATCGCATGTAGGGCCTAATCTTCGGATGCTGTAAATCAGCATAGGTCCCTTGACTTCATTGGAGCTATGTTGCTTTACATCAACTGAGGATCTGTCCCATAGAATCCATTGTCTAGGATGGTTTGATTAGATACCACTGAAAGACTCTGCCCTATGTGTCTTAGGAGGACCACAGGAGGGAGCCCCTCTCCTGCAGAGCCAGAGAGTAGAAAGACATTTCAGAGTGCCGTTGAAGTCAAAGCCTGCAACATTTTAAAGGATAAACCCCATAAACCCATCTATTAAGAGGGTAAAAGGAAAACACGAAGGAGCTGTTTGTTTACTCTAACTTCTTTTGTTTCATCCATTTAAAATAGGGCTTGATCCTGCCCCCATTGGTAAATGGGGATGAGAGAGTGAGTGGGATCAGACAATGTTAAACTTCCATTACTTAAATGGGGCAACACTAGGCTCATAACATGGCAAAGTGACTTTTATCTGCTTTTTATGGATGAGATTCCAGTTATGCACCAAGTAGATGCACGACAATGACATCATCAAAAAGAGTCCTAATCAAAACATGGCCTTGTTCTGGCCCTGTGTGTTTGCATCCCTATGCTCAAACACAGTAAAGTGAATCAGGAATTTGGGGTTCTATTCCTGGTTCTGCCTCTGGCTTGCTGACCTAGGGCAAGTCACCTTCATCTCTGTGCCTAAATTTCCTCATCTGTTAAAGTGGGGACAAGAATGTGTGTTCCTCATGGAACTGTTCCTAGGCTCAAGAACCTCATATTGAAAATAGTTATAGCAGTGCATGATATTATTAAACCAGTAGGAAAGTGTTATCACTGAAAATCTGTGCAAACTCTGAATGCCACGTGTGTTCCAATGTAATCTTCCATCTGTCACTGAAGCATTTGCTAGAGGTGACACTGGGGCAGCAAAAGACACTCACACAGATACTGTGGAATAGACATACGTAGATGGCAGCTCCGTAAACTGAATTAAAACATAATTACTTGCATCATGAGAATTTCCTAATGAAACTCCTCAGTCAAAGTAGGACTGGAGTGGGAATTAAATAGTGCATAGGTGTTGCACTAGCTGTCTGCACAGGGGAGAATTTTTACTCTAATTAAAACTTTGTATTAGTATCTTAGTATTGCCATCATCCATGTATTGTATGAAGACAGGTCAGGACTAGAGAATTCAAATTTTACATGCTCAGTTCAGGACACAGCATAATATTTTATATAAACAGCTGAAAATTTCACGTCTAAACAATCAAATTCCCCCCTCTCCCCCAAAAAGCGAATGTGTGTTCAGAATTTTGAAATGTCCAATCTGTCATATCATTTGGTTTTTCACTTCCCTGCTCAAAAGTTTTAATGCCCTTCATTATATTCCCGTAAACACTCAAAACATGATTAATATTCTAGCTCATCCCCATCTCTGTTACATTTGGGAGCTTGTTTTAAGTATAGAGGGAAATGATAGTAGCTCAGATACCACTGTCTGTGATTGTCAATAGTCTGATTTTTTTAACGGCATCCAATGTAGTTTTAATGTTCTAAAGAAAACTGCTTGTGCATCCTTGAAATAAAGTCCTTACCATGTCCAATATGTCTAACCATAAAATATCTGGTAAGGATAAGTCTTCTGGAAGGGGTGAATGGTGATGCAGCATCAATTCACTAAATCTGCCATAACACAATTAAGAGGTATTTGAGATGTCAAGTCTCATCAATATCAAAAACTACCTAAAGTAAGGACAAGAGGAGATCAGAAAAATGGTAATGAGTGTAGGAAATAACATTATCTGGGGCTAGCTAACTATAGTTTAAAGAGAGATTCAAATCAAAGCCAGAGATCTGAGTATCCTTGAACTTCATGGAAGTTTGGATCAATAGCCAGATCTAAACCTCATAGGGAGTTTCTAACCCTAGAAAGGGACAAATCAAAATCCCAAATTGTTGTAAAAACTCAGATCTTCATTTGTATTCTACCTTTGAAGCCCAGGCCCATTTATAATATACTTACGATTAGCTGTAACTTAAAATGCAGCTGAAATCATGGAGTTTGGGGAACATGTGAAGGAAAGGTCAAAAAGACCTTTATAACATTCATCCCACTTTTCATTACTGATTCAGAAACCAGAGGTGGCTTAAAAATCATCTCCTCATGACCTGATTTTCTGGCAGAGAAAGAGGACTTTATCAACCTGTTTAAAAGCTGTCATTGCTCCAAGCAACTATGACAGTTTCCACCAATTTTCAACACTATATATTTGTCCTCCTTCCTTACATCTCTGCCATCTACCTCATTAAATGGCTACATTTCTCCTGACCTATCAACTCATATTGCTACAACCCTCATCGCCACTTTCTGCCCATCCCTCTTGCCTCAAGATATTGTGAACTGCTTAAAGGAAAAAAACAAACAAATCAGACACTATCCAGCAGAAACTCTCCTCTTGCTTCGCCCCCTCCCACACTCACTATTCCATTCCTCCCTTCCTTCAGCTCTCACCTCCTTTGGTCTCCAAAGCTGGGGTGTCTCTTTTATTCTCCTCATCCACCCCCTCAACCATCTCTTGTTTCCTGTTCTATCACACTAGATAATTCCACAGCCGTCCTTACTTTCCATGCTTGGAAACGCTGTCATCTTTCACTCTTCTTTTCCCCTCACGCTCAGGCTAAATCCTGCCACTTACTTGTTTACAAAATTATCTCTTCTTTCCTAGACATCCTTACTGAAAAAACCTTTGTCTTTGACCTGATAATCTCCTGCCTTGACTATTGTAACCTTCTTCCTGAAACTAACACTGCTCATGACCCCCCCCTCCATTTTATCCAAAATGCCATAATCAAAATTAGTCTTCCTCGCCTGCTGCTCTAACCACTTCATCCCACTTTATAGATCCCTTCATTAGCTCCACAGTCCCTTCCACTGTGCTGCACTTTCAGCAAGTACTGCAGGCACTGCCCTGCCATAATGGTAAAGGGCCTAGCACATTTTGGGTAATAAATAAATAAAAGAGCTGATTAAAAAACATGAACAAAAATTGAAATTGTGTCTACATTTTTCCCATTTTTGACTTCACCTAAAACTGAAATTTTGAAAATTTCAACTAATTCTAATAAATAATGGGGGGTTTCATACAGTGCAACAATCAGTTCTGGCTTTGGTTGCTTTCAAGGTTGTCCTTGCTTACAACATTATGTTAATTTTAAAGAACATAACTGTCACATCAACATCTATGATATAGATGAAACCTTCTCCTTGCTGAACAAGAAAGAATGTGCTTTCTACCTTTTCTCAATTATACTGGGATTAGCTGTCACCAGCTGGGTCTTGGATCCAACATCCTTGCTGTATTCACTGGACAGAGGAGGAAGGTTGCATCTGCAGAAACAAAGACATCCAAGGTTTTTAATTGTCATGTTCCAGTTTCAGGCTTTTTATATTGTAGGAATCCAGTTTGCACATAAGGTCATGCAAGCTGACAGAAAATTTGCAATACTAATACTGGGCCAAATGAAAAAATGGTTATGGGCTAAATCTTCAGAATTGCTTACACTTTATTTAAGCATCAAACTCTCCCAATATGTGTATCTACAACAGGGTATTTTTGCACTAAAATGTGGATAAGTGCAAATTTATGCACTTTGGAAAGATGGTCCTATATTAGTGTATTGACAGTAAACTCTGAAGCAAATAATGAAAAGTGTCTAGATTTATATATCGAATGTCCCTGCTAACAGGCTATTGGCAAAAGGGGACATTATGCACAGAAATACATTTCAACTAACCTTTTTAAAATCCCATTCCCCTCAGTACTTTTCCTTGTTGGCTGACTGTGTCCCAGAATGCATCATTCTGTAACATCACAACCATCATGGACTACATACTTGCAAACTTTGAAGCCTGTGGTATTTTTGATGTCACATTCTGAAATCTCTTCAGTAGAACAGAAAGTACCAACGGGACTCCACAGGTGGAGGAAAAAATATTTTTTAGTGGTTACTTAACATGAATTTCTGGGTTTGAATGCCTCCCACAACCTGGCTGCGGGAGACATTAAGTGCACTACTCTACTTTGCAGATCATTTTTAGGAAAGAAGATAGGTAAAGGGGAAGACTAAGAGAAAAAAAAAAGAGACAGAAACTCCTGTCACTGAAACTAGACCCAAATGCTCCACAATGAAGAGATGGACGGTGGAAATAATGCTAAATGTAGGCCAACGTGCACCAACACCAGGCATTGTTGAATCCCAATGAATACATCTTGTGCAGAACCACATCCCTTGCCTGCTTCATTCACTGAAACTGCAGCATACAGAAACAGAATATGATCGAAGGCAGCATTTCTCAAGCTGGGGGTCCTGACCCAAAAGGGGGTTTCAAGCCTATTGTAGGGGGATCACAGTATTGCCACCCTTACTTCTGTGCTGCCTTCAGAGCTGGACAGCCGTAGAGCGGTGGCTGCAGGCCAGGCTCCCAGCTCTGAAGACAGTGCCGCGGCCAGCAGCAGTGTAGAAGGAAGGATGGCCTGGTATGGGGGAAGGAGGCGGCGCGGGGGGCAGTCACTTCTTTTTGGGGGCAGGTTGTCATAGCTTGAAATATTTTCAAAGAGGGTCCCAGCAAAAAAACGTTTGAGAACCCCGATCTAAGGAAAGGGGGCATGGCCATGTGTAATAGTCCTGCTTTTTATGCTCCCCCCCAAAAGTGCATGCTCAGAAGAGGTGCAAGCCAAGCAAAAAAGTAAAAAACAGCCTCTGGTTGTTTTAACCTATACATGCAACTGCACTCAACCCAGTGGCTAGGGGGACTCAAAAGTCAAGCAGGGCAGGATCCAGGATAGACAGCAACATCATTTCATATCCGTCTCCTTTTCTCCTGTTTTACCAGGATGACACAGATTTCTTTGGCCCAATTCAGATCCTCTTGCTCCTGTGAAAGTCTACCTTATTTTTTGGCACTATACTCTCCCCCAACTCTCTTTAGCTCCCCTTTTCTGGATGTCCTGTGTTTATAGGACTGACCAGATACAAAAGTGTGCTCCATTAATCTGCTCCTTTGTGCACTACTTCCAGGCAATAGGTGTCATGTACCTGCAATGAACACTGGTTGCTCATTCCAAGCATCAACTAAATTCAAATTGCATGGGGCCTATATCCTGCCTCAGTAAAAGGTGGGCATTTGGGGGAATAGGGAATGGAATGAGCTCAGTTTCTGTGCCAATTTCTAGTATTACCATAGAAAGGGTTAATGCTATAATGTTCACAGATTCTAAAGACCAGAAGGGTCATCTAGTTAGACCTCCTGAATAACACAGGCCATAGAACTTCTCTGAAATAATTCCTGTTTGAGCTAGAGCATCTCTTAGAAAAACATCCAATCTTGACTTAAAATTTGCCAATGATGAATAATCCACCAGGATCCTTGTAAGTTGCTCCAGAGTTTAATTACCCTCACTGTGAAAAATTTTGCACCTTATTTCCAGTCTGAAATGTTGTATGCTGTAGTACGCATTCACTGTAGAGTGTCAATCAGGGCCAAGTAACAAGGAATGCTAGTACCATAGCAGTCTGACTGCTGCCCTTGGCAAGTATTTTCAGTGCATTCAATGAAGAGCCCCAAGCCCTTATAACATGAGGAGGAAGTACAGTGGCTGACCCCTTCTGCAATCCATACTGACCATGTGTGCACTGTGTTATGTCCAGAGTTGGTGGGTGGGAGGATATTTGTGTGCACATTACACACCAGTGTTTCTGTGCAATTTCAAGCATATTTACTACTAATGCAAATCTGCCAACATTCTCTAACAAAAACAGGACTGTACAAATTTGCATATATTTGCATAAATTCAGATACAAGCCATCAGAAGCATGGGTTTATATTCATGCTGTCAGAAAACTCCAATATGAAAAGATAGTTTAAGTCATTTGTAGAGAGCCATGTGTCACTATTGTTTTCTCTTTTTCATGGTTGCAATTCTTAAAAAGAAGAAAAGGGGAATATTGACCCTTGAGCTGGCTGGGTTTTTGTTTTTTTTTTCTTTTGATAATTGTTTTCTCATTAAAAAGGGGGCTTCAATAATGACAACATTTTTCTTGGAAAAAATTCTCTGTCGACATTGTTCAATGACATTCCAAACAAAGAATTTCAATAAACATTTTTTTCAAAATTTTCAGTGTCAAAACCAGCAGGAAAATCCCACTCTGTCTTTCACTTTTTTGAAGTGGGAACTAGAGGGGTATAAAAAGAGAGCAAGTGTGAAATGAAAAATTTCATTAACTTTTTGATTAAATGAAAAAACTTGGGGTTTGGGGTTGGTGGCCGCCTTAATTTTTTTTTATAAAATATACTTACCCCCTTGTAAACAAACTCTAATACCCCTTAGTTGTTATTTCATCACTCAAAAAAATCCCAACAAATGCAGAAAGTCAAGCCACTTTCAACACTTTGTAATGGTGCTCTCAGAAATCCTAACGATGAGGAAAGCATCATTAGCAACAAGATAAATATTTGCTTAGATTCTGTCTTGCAAAGAAATCTGGAGAACCTGGATTTTGGATTATATAATGATGACAGAAGTCAAGGAAACAGAAGGTGACTTGGAGACATTTTAGGACCAGAGCTAATTCTTAACTCTCACAAATCACTTTCAAATTGCATGAGATCCCTCTATCAGGTCAAGTTCTGCCACTCTCATTGATGTTGCATAATATATTAGACAGAGCAACGGGACTGCTTGAAAAGTAAGGTAATTACTCAGCGTGAGTAAGGGCGGCAAAATGGAGCTCCAACTGAGCACCAAGCACATCAAAAGAAACAGTAGATTGCTCCAGTTTCTCTGTAAACCTAGTCATCTGTTGTTACATGGAAATACAACAGATTGGCAATCCGGCTAATGGACTTTTTGCATTTGGGAGGATAAGTCTCAGTATCTTTATATTTAAACACACATGCACAGGCAGGTCAAGTTTTCACTGAATCAAGGTACACTCTTTTTCAATGCTTGTTTAAATCATTGTCCTTTATAATTGCATTGCCATAACTTTATCACCCAAACATATGAATAAATAAGTTTGCTTTTCTAAACCAGCCGCAGATGTATCATTTAAAATCAAGTTCCCTTCATCAATAAATCTCTCTCCCAGCTTGTGCTGCAGCATGGAACATTAAGAAATTGGCTGAGGACCCAGCTGGAAATTCAGCAAGAAGCCAGCTGGTCAGCAGAAGTCCCTTTCCTTTTTCAATTATTTTTTAGGCTGGTTCACACAATGCCAAGTCCCAGATAGTTGTTGGACAGACTGTGAAGTGGAAGTTTCATACTAGCAAGGAGCATGCATTTTTAATTATACCACAACCACTTATTAGTCATTTAATGAATCTTTTGGTCTTGGGCAGGGGACGGGAGGGAAAAGAATTTCTTGAGGCCAAGAGCTTATGTAAATCCTCTAACTGTTGGTCTCAAAGCAATATGGATTTAAATACACTGATCTTTGAATGGTATCTGTTGTATCTTCTCACTGAAACCAAAGCACTAGAAAAAATGCGATCAACATGCAGAGTTCCCTATGAGGTAGTACCCGTTTCACGGCTGAGACCCTCATGCCTTATAGGTATCTGGTGAACCAAGAAGAAACATAAAACTACCCAAGGCAATAAGAACTGTACTATGATTATCCCACAAAGAAGTCACTCTTTCCATATCTTACTGGTAATTCTTTTACCATATTTGTTCTCTGTACTCCAAAAAATCTAGGTGGGTGCATTGGCCATAAAAAGGCACTGGGTGTAATTCTTTAGACTACAGGATTCACTAAGCTTTAAAATTATTGTTTTCAATGCATGGTCTTTTTGCCTTTCAATTATTAAACAGATGGAGGAGCAGCCAGCCCAAACCTGAGTGGCACTGTGACCCCAAGCACCAGGTCGTAAGCGCTAATCATTCAAATTTGGCTTGGTGTCATTCCCCTTCTGCTGTCATGATGGAGGGGCAGCTGGGCCAGACCTAAGAGCTGCTGTGACCCTTCGCACCAGGTCACAACATATGGAGCAGAGAGCAAAGCCTAACCCCCCAGGACAGGGTGAGTTTATTAAAATCATGGAGACAAACAGAAAAAGCACAGTATCCAAGAAATTTTCACCACTGTAATTAACCTGCAGCCCTAACGACAGTTTATGATACTTTATGGTACTATATAGTCTTACGCTCCCAGAGGAACCATTGTAGGTGGACCCTGCCCAGGGACAGTTCTTATTATGAAACCAGCTCAGTTAAACGCAGTTGGTGATCTCTCTTTTGGACAGGCCAAACAACTGACTTGCAAACCGGGCTTCAGGTGCACAGGTAGAGTTTAAGAAAGGAGTAGAAAGGGTTGCACAGAGATTGATGCAGATTATTTGGTTCCATCTGTGGTTCTTTAATAAGAACCAAATTTAGCAAAATTTAACTGGGGATGGGAAATGTAGCAAATTGCAAATGCACACAGTGCTTAGCAAATATATTTTTATCGGGTGGCCATGCCCTCTACTTCATCCTCTAGATAATCAAATGAAGAACAATGATTGTCTTCAGTCCTTGCAAGAGATCATTTAACCCATTTGCCCTCTTTGAGTGACCATGCAGAGGAGAGGTACAATCATGATTACTTTCCCAAAAGACACTCAGGGTGTTTCCCTATTTTCAGGCTACTAAGCAGCATAATAAAGCAAAAACAGGAAACTGGTGATTGATTGGCTTTATGACTAAGATGCTTACACATCACTCAGACCAGCAAGGAACCATACTGAGGGGAAACAATACAATTATTATGGATATGGATGGGCAATGGCAAGCTGATGTGGTAGGCAAGCACAATGGTGTATAATCTGTATATCTGTAGAGGGATAAATATGCTGTCAATCTGGCTGGAGGTCAAAAGGACAAATCTGAATTTTTAAATGAAAAAAATGTGTTTGAAAGTGTTCATTTAGGTTCTTTATTCTAATGCACTGGCCTGCCACTGTAGTACGCATACCACTAGTGGGACAAAAGCCACCAGCAGGTGGCACCTGGGTTGGTTTAAAGCAGTGTTTCTCAATTGGTGGGTCATGACCCACTGAAGCAGCTACGAAAGTTAATCAAGAGTGATTGCGGTGCATTGAAAATTTTATTTCAACCTAAAGCAAAAAATATAAAATAAACTCAAACCACCTCACTCCCCTTCTGCTGCCATGCACGATTTCCCTTCAAGGTCAAGTACTCTCTGTCAACATCTTAAAACACAAACAAATTATATAGGCTTATTGTTATCACTATATAATTTCTATTCTTACTCTTACAGGAAACTTAAGGTAGGGTCACAAAAATGTGGTCTTCAAATAAGGGGCGGCAAACCTGAAAAGGTTCAGAAACACTGGTTTAAGGTATATTGTCAAAATAAGAATCCATTATGACTACCCTGAGTACAATTATGAAGGTGATATGCTAAATACTTTTGAATTTTTGGTCTGGTGGGCTACATCTTAAAGACTGAGATCTGCTGCTGTAATGCAATCTTTGTATTATTGCAACATTATTTAGTGTATGTTCAAGCAACGGGTTTAAACTCCATTTTCCACATTACTGTGTAATTAGCTAACTTCACTGATTACAGTATATCAAAGAATATAATTGTAATCTTGTGACAGATCTCATAGGAGATGGATAGTAACTGAATAAATTTAAAATAAAAACATTTTGAACGGGGAAAAAACTGCAATATGTTTAAAATTGGTATAATATTTGATGTTACTGAAGAGGTATTTTAAAGGAAGCTGCACAAAGATCTTATTAGCAAGCTGAAGCAACTTCATGTAATTTTTGGAGATATTACCAAGTAAAATATGTATATTTTTACACTCAACTATAGAATTACAGCAATTAGATATGGAAAAGGCCAATTAAATCTAATGTACTCCACCTGCTAATGAAAAGCATTTCACCACCTATATATTATCCAGTACACTTAAAAGATCTTAAACCTTTCCCCATAAATATGACTGTGTGACTAATGCAATCCTGCTTGCAATCAGCTGCTCGATTTTGCAGGATTTCCCACTACCACTTCTATCCAACTCACAATACACTAAAAATAGCCTATGGCCAAGTTCCCCTTTTGGTAGCGGGAAATGTTTTCCTATCAGTCCACAATAGATGCCCTTAAAAATGTTCTAATTGTCTTTGTAACTAATTTTCACTACTGAAGCACTCCTTAGGTATTCCATAAACCAGGTATAAGAAACTTTAGGGAATACTGTAATAATGTTATCTAGTTGCAAATGCAAAATGTAAATGTTTTAAGAGCAACTAATGCACTGTCCCCCTCCGTGCCTATTTTCTTTCCTGCATATATTTTAAGTGTACAGTACATATTTCTTTTTTCTGTAGTTTACTTCTCTGTTCTATTAAGGAAGGTATTTGGTCTCTTGGGTGCAAACCAGAATGGTAACAATGTTTGTTTTTCCACAAATTAGTAGTTTTATAATAAGCCATCAAAATCTGATCAGGGAACTCTTAGAAGTGGGAGTTAATTCTGCATCCGTTTCAGAGCCATGAGAAAGTCCTATAAAGATGAGAAATGGCATGCTTAGCTTTCCTTCCTCCCCGCTTCCCCCACAACATTTTTCTTGTTCATATTTAACAAAGAGGAACTAATTTCTTTTCCTCCCCTCCAATATCTAGAGTGCAGATCTAGATAGTGCCAAATTCAATCAAGGAAGAACTATATAGCACAAGGTCCTGCTTGACAGATCCTAATACCTTCAGAAACGCAGGAGCAAAAAGAGAATGAGGGGAGTTTAAAAGCAAACTGTGCCGAGGAAAGAAGTCTGCTCTATTTTCAGATGGTCAGAACTGAATCCCGACTTGATTATGTAAAGAGTTGTCACTTTGGATGGGCTAGCACCAGCAGGAGTGTGAATTTGTGTGCGGGGGTGGAGGGTGAGAAAACCTGGATTTGTGCTGGAAATGGCCCACCTGATGATCACTTTAGATAAGCTATTACCAGCAGGACAGTGGGGTGGGAGGAGGTATTGTTTCATATTCTCTGTGTATATATAAAGTCTGCTGCAGTTTCCACGGTATACATCTGATGAAGTGAGCTGTAGCTCACGAAAGCTCATGCTCAAATAAATTGGTTAGTCTCTAAGGTGCCACAAGTACTCCTTTTCTTTTAGGAAAACATTTTAGCCCACTCTCTCATTTTGGGTCTCTCCCTGTCAAGTTCTATCTACTCAGATTGACTTCAAAGGGGTGGGGATGAGGATATGAGTTTCATAAGAGGGCACTCAGCACCTTGTAGGATCAGACCCTGCCTAATGTAATTAGAAAGCAAAAGAAAAGGCGGCTTTCTCCCTCACTGCCATTGTGTTTGTCAGGCTAATGTCTAATGCGGCCTAATTCATCCATCTATAAGTCTCCCAGAGATAAGCTTCCCCATAGCCAGGGAGGGTATATAAGTCTGCCATTGCTGCCCTCCCCCCAAATCACTTGTGTAAATCACCCTGAAAAAGAAAAAAAGGCAAGTTACAATTGATTAATCACAAACAAACAGCTTTGAAAGATCGTAGACTTGGGGGGAGGGAAGGAAGGAGGGAGGCAGTGCTGCAGCTGGGTTCTGTCTTACCGCATGACAAAATCTGCTTGATCTATTTGTCTGCCGCAGCCACTCTTCTTCAGAATCCCACCATTTCCCACCACGGAGCATTTCTTCAATGGGAGCTGTAATGGGGTAGCCTAGCAACAGAAAACAAGGCCAGTTTTTACTGAGAAGAACACACAATCTTTGTTTGTAGCAGCCACTCCTGAGGCCTATCAGGAACTAGGGAGGGGATAGGGACAGCAAAAGGGGAAAGAGGAGGGCGAAAGAAGCTTGGAAATTAGTCCAAAGTATGAGCAGTCTGATTCCCACTCCCAAAAGCAGACTCCATCACTATCCAGCACTAAGATAATGTAGTTATTGTATGAAGCAGAATTTCAGAGTTATAAATTCCTGGTGTTCACAAACAGTTGTGCAGTAGGATGTATTTTCTATTCAAATTTACCAGGACAGAGTACAAAAGAAGGAACAAAACAATAAGAGAGAGACAAAGTGGGTGAGGTAATATATTTTATTGGCCAACTTCGGTTGGTGGAAGAGAAGTTTTTTTAGCTTCACAGAGCTCTTCTTCAGGTTTGGAAAAGGTAACAAGAGAGTCATAGCTATATACAAGATGGGACAGATTGTTAAGCATAAGGGGTTAACACAGGTTGCAAGAAGCCACTTAAAACAAAGTGGGCAATTAACACTTCTGTAATCATAAGATAAAAGGAGGGTTAAGTAGGTTGCAAATTGTTATGAGCCATAAAACCAGTGTCTTTGTTGTTACCATGATTTTTAGTGTCTAGCAGAATTATGAGTTTAAATTCCCAAACTTGTCTTTTGAAGGAGTTGGACAGGTTTTCTCTAAGGATGAGGACTTAGAGGTCAGATATGGAGTGATCACTTTGTGAAAAATGCCCATGGATGATAGGGTGTTTTTCTCTTTTATTTTTCTGTGTGTGTTCATTCGAGAGCACAATGATTGTCTGGTTTCACCTACATAGTTGTTGTTGGGGCCTTTGATGCACTGGATGAGGTATACCGCACGCTGTGATAAGCATGCGTAGGACCCATGGATCTTGAAAGGTTGTCTCTTCCACCAACAGAAGTTGGTCCAATCACCCACCTTGTCTCTCATATCCTGGGACCAACACAGCTACAACACTACAAACCAAAGAATATAAAAGGCACCTTAATGAGATTATACACAAAAGACACATGGCGGGGGGAAGGAATAAATGAGGAAGAAGTGTAGTTACAGCAGGGTACTGGCCGCCAGGGGTCCTCCTAAATTCTATTCCTGGCACTAGCGCTGCTCATTCTGTGGCCTCAGGCAAGATATTTAGGGGTTGACTGCAGCTCCCTAAAACCTCAGGCAATCAATCCTGGCATAAATTAAAGCTGCGGAGGAACAGTCTTTATTTACCATTGTTATAAGATCCCTTCTAGCACTTTAACAGTGGATCAATGCAGAGTTAAGGTATCATGAAAATGCTATGTGTTAACATTGTAGCAGTGCATGACAATAACATATTACATATAGACTAGTAGCTGAAAGCCTGTGCTCTCACACTGGTGTAATTCTTAAAGTCATGTGTGTACAAAAGCCAAAAATGGGGGGCACGCACTGTGTTATAGTGAGCAACATTGCTGTGGGAACATGTTCCCCAAATTTTTTGCACAGAGCTACTGCCTGGCTGGAGGCATGACCATTGTTTGTTACCCATGAAACTGTTACCCCCACCTCCTCTGATCAGCTGTCACGTTCCAACTGCCACGGAACCTTCAGATGCCAACATTCCATCCAGTTCTCACAGGGCCCAGTGATGACTGAACCTGATGATATTCTGAACAAAACCAAGCTTGTAGTTGTTCCCAATCCTTCATGCTGACTCAAAAGACATTCTAGGCTTCAAAATGACATACAGAGTAACAATCCTGGAATCTTATTACATATTTCCTTTCATTTGGAAGGAAACTAAACTTACATGTAGAAGAGTCCTTTCATCTGCCTCTGAAATACATCCACCTGTGGGATCAGTTGTGACAGTCGTTTAAACAGCACACAGTAGCACTATCAATCAGTTTAGCCCAGGAAATAAAAAATACTCCATTAAATTGAAAATACCTGGGGAATTCAAAGTAGGTAGGATGAAGTTACCATTAATAGAATTTGTCCAAAAACTTGGGTTAATACTCTCTTCTTGTAAAAAAATGTGCAATGATTTTTATCTCCCAAGGTTGTCAGAACCTCACTCACACAATAAAGACAGAATCATTCTATGCATCATCCTATGTCAACGCAAATGTCATGGTGCTGTGGTGGAGCTTCACAAGACAATTATTCTTCCCTGAGGGACAAATCAAAATGGTGGCAGTACTTATACTTACCTAAGTATTGGAGGGGATGTATAGTGCAACATTATGCATTATTCTTATATCTCCATAATGCACACACCAGGCATAACAGTGTAGTGAAGTACAGAGAACCGACCCAGAGTTTCAGTCTGAATTATGAATGTATCAGGCCTTTATGTTTTAAATCCATAATTTAGTTTCTTCCCTGTAATTAGCTTTTTTCCCCTCAGCAAACTGGATTCTATTCAGCTAGTTATAAAGCCATCACCTGCTTTCTAATTAAGGATATCAAAACGTTTTGTGTATGTTAATCCTGGATTACAATATGTTAAGGAAGAAAAATTAGTTTTGATTTACTGATGTCTGGCTACTGCTAGGAACACAGTGATAGCATGGCAAAGTGACACTAAGTATGCAACCACATTCTTGCTTGTGCATCTGCTTTCTCAAGAACATTTTTTTAATTTACACATTTATTGAACTAGGAATCTAGCTCACTTCAAAAGTGACCCTGACCAAATGACAACCTGCAGGCTGATTGAAAAAACATGTATAGAAATTTAGAATTGAAATTGTTGGTTTTCTTTAAATAGCAGTGCCTTCCTTACTCAAGTTATCACACAGTCCTTTACAAGCCAATTAGTTACATAATGGTAGCTCAGTAATGGTGTATAGGCAAAATGCAGCAGCCATTAACTCTTCATTTTCAAGAGCTGTGAAAGACTTCATTATATAATTCCTGTTTTAATACATGTCACTGGGCTTAATCCCAAATTACAGTGAAAATGTAGGAGTTCCAAAATATTTAGCAATACTGTAGATCAGTCTTTCCAAAAGTGCGGTCCTTGGACTCCTAGGGTCCACTGTGGGTTATGCAGAGGCCAGATTGCATCAGAACAGCATTCTGGCAATTTTGCCACATAGCGGGTGCCATTTTGTTCTCTCCACAGTGTGAACTCCTCTCACACATGGTGAGTATGTCACTCTAGCAGGGATGTTACAGTAATACCGGAAATGAAAGGGGTCTGGGATATTTAGTCAGATGCCAAAGGGGTCCTTTGGCTGAAAAAAGTTTGGGAACCACTGCTGTAGATTATAGTCTGTCCAGACATTCAAACCTATTTTATTGAGGTGGATTGTTGGCCAACACAGAGGGGTTTTCACTTATTGTTTCTAAAAGCAACAGTAATGTTTTACACTTGTATAACACTTTTAATTTCAAAATGCTTTATAAATGTCACCTACCACTGAAATGCAGTCACTTCTGTAGTTGAGGGAGAAATTTTGGCCAAAGACACCAAGGCAGACCCGTACTTACAAAGCGTGCCATGAGACCTTTAACATCCACGCAGGCCAGATAGATCCCCCAGTTTGAGATTATCAAAGGAGACTGGGGGATTGGCCACATAAGCTCCCTTTGAAATCAATGAGGCTACAATCCCCTTGGAAAATCTGATCCTCAATTTTTAAACTAATAAATTTCAAGACCCAAGAAGGACAAACAGGGTAAGACCAAAGCACCAGGATTGCAGTCTATGGTTCAGGGAGTCCAATAAAAGAGTAGAGAGGTGTGTGTAGGAGGCAAGACATGGCTGTGCCCTTCTGCACCAGCCTGTAGAAGAGGTCAGTCACACCATACAAGGAAGGAAGATAGCAGGTGATGCTTTTTCTAAAGGATGGAGGAGGATTTTGTGGAGGAGCTGTGGAATTCCACTGAGCTGATTGAGGCAAAATCCCTCCTCATGCTCCCCAGGTTTGCACCATTCCATGCACTAAATGTGTGGTGTCATATTATTTGACATACCTTGTGAAGGCATTGTACAAAATACCTGACTTCAACACCTCAGAGATGGGAGTGTTTGTGAAGAGTTGAGGATTAAGTGTCCCTGCTGCTCTAAGGTATTTAAGATGTTCTTTAGCTTAATGAAGAGCAGTTGCTTGCTTAGGAAGCTCCAGGAGAAATTTCTCTTTCTTGTCTTACTCATAAATAGTTTACATTAAAGACCTGTATTATTGTTCAATTTGTAGAGGCTTTTGAGGGTCTCTGGTGTTAGCCTATTGATACAGAAAAGCCCATCTGTTCATATAAATATCATACAAATCAACATGTTGTCCATCACACAGTATGAAAAACAGTTTCTTTGTTTCTGTACACAGGCAATTTTATTTTTCATCTCAAAGAAATGGGTTAAAGGGCATAAGGTTAATCCTTGAAACCATATTCGTGTGACCCCCTCAACATGAAGTCACTCAATTTAGAAGTAGTGTAAGCATCCCCACTGTAAGGTGTCAGTATAAGTGCTGTGCTACCCCTAGATGTCTGCAGGCATACTTCCTGTACCACTAGCTTGGAGACAAGTGCTGTAGCTGCTCCAAGAATTAGGCTTTAGCCATCAATAGGTTCCCAGGCTCTGAACACTCCATTTTCAGACCATTCCTTCCTTTGGGCTGCCAAAAATACAAGGAACAAATGCTCTAGGAACAATTAATTTAAACTACAGCATAAAGATCAAAACAACAGTCCCTAGTCCACTCTCAAGGGGTAGGTCCAGTACAAGGGCACACAGGTCAGAGCCTCCTTTCAACCCTTCCACTGCACCATCTTACTTGCTGGCTGCTTCCCTGCATCCTTCTGCTCCAGTTACCACTGGTCCCTTGTCAGCAACAAGCTGAGTCTCTGTCCAGCTCTCAGGCCACCTTCTACCAGGTAGCTGCCTATATTTGACTGCTCCCTGTTCTCATGCAACCTTCAGCTACCTCATCAGCTTGGCCTCCCCTCACCTAAAACGGTTCTTTT